CATTTCCCTCTGAAACAGCCCACTTGGAGTTTGACTCAGCCCACTTGAAGTTAATCATTTAGCAGCTTGACTCCATCTTACGTCTTTACTCTGATCCTCACAGGTCATGCTTACAGTCGCTGTCACACTAGTCAACTCCGGCATTACAGTGTGTAAATGCACGGTCAGTTCTCAGTAAGATTTTACAACAGGCAGCAGGCTGGCTCTGGCTCATGGGCCATAGTTTGTCAACCTCTGCTTTAGAGCATCGTGGGCGATGGTGCCTAGGAGGAGGGCATAGGCATGCCATCAGGATATAAGCTAACTCTAAGGAGATGCTTGGCCGAGGGCTGTGCCAACAGGACCCTCTCAGGAGGCGGGCTCTGAAGACTGTTTCTAAGGGCACCTGTAATTTAGCACCTGCTATCGCGCTTGCTAACTCCTAAGCTTCTCTCCAGGAAGGTGTGTTGAGGGAAGTAAGAGAAGGGCCTGACTCATCCCTGGGACCCAGGAGCAAAGCAACAGCTGTTCTCTGACCCCAGAGGCAGTGGTGGTACCAGGGGACCCCAGCTGAAGATGGGGTCTCTAGGGAAGGCAAGAGTTGAAGAGGAGGAGAAGTCTGTTTGTGGGAGAGAAGGAGGAAGCAGGCCCCAAGGAAATGAATGCTGAGTAACTTCAGACATTGCTCTGTAGGCAGATGTGGGCTTGAGCCCTCATAAGCAAGATGCTTAAGGAGCGTTATATTTTCTTTTATAATCACAGGTAATGAAGACTAGGCACAGAATAGGTGGTCAACCAATCGCCTCCAGGTTTACTGACGGCTATAACCTTGTCCTAGATCACTGATGGCGAACCTTTGGAGCTCGCCGTGTCAGCATTTTGAAAAACCCTAACTTAACTCTGGTGCTGTGTCACATATAGAAATTTTTTGATATTTGCAACCATAGTAAAACAAAGACTTATATTTTTGATATTTATTTTATATATTTAAATGCCATTTAACAAAGAAAAATCAACCAAAAAAATGAGTTCGCGTGTCACCTCTGACACACGTGTCACAGTTTCGCCATCACTGTCCTAGACAAACCCTCAACGCCCTAGCCATTAACCTTTACGCAGCACAGTGACCGCAACAATTAGAACCAAGGACTGAAGTCAACTGGGTAAGGCAAGGAAGTGCCTTCACGTGGCCACAAGGTGTCATGCAGACCTGCTCAGCTTCTGCCCCACCAGGAAGAAAAGGCCTTCGTTGTTGGCCATGGTGGGAGAATAACTTTGCGAGATCACATCAAACTGCTTGATGGCATAGCCGGCCTCTCGCACAGCAGCCTCGACGGCCTCCCGGTCCAGGGAGAGGCTGGAGAACCTCTGCTCCCCAATCATGTAGTAGCTGCTCTTCAGGGCGTCCACGAGCACCAGGTGGCCCCCCGGCTTGAGCAGGCTGCTGAGGTTCCTGAGGGCGGTGCGGTAGGTGGGGAGGTCTGGGCAGGCGGCGTCCAGGCACAGGGTGCTGAGCAGGCAGTCGGCCAGGGGCAGGGAGGCGGCCCCCAGCGGCCGGCTCTGGGTCACGTCACACTTCAGGACCTGCTTGACTGCCCGCCTCAATTTCTCCTCCTTCTCTTGCCCCTTCACTCTGAAACACAAAGACCAACAAACACTGTGCTACCTCCCTCATGGGGGCCACAGATCTCTTTGCTCGGGGCTGAAAATCTCAGTGTTGCCATGGTCGATTTGGCTCAGTGGATAGAGCATCGGCCTGTGGACTGAGGGGCCCCGGGTTCGATTCCGGTCAAGGGCATGTACCTTGGTTGCGGGCACATCCCCAGTGGGAAGTGTGCAGAAGGCGGCTGATCGATGTTTCTCTCTCATCGATGTTTCTAACTCTCTATCTCCCTTCCTCTCTGTAAAAAATCAATAAAATATATTTTTTAAAAAATCTCAGTGTTGTCCCAAGTGTTGTATCTTTAAGGAAGGAGAAATGAGAAACCTTCTTATATTTTATTTTGTTTTGTTTACAGGAGAGAGCGCGAATGCAGTCCCCCACGACCACAAATTATGCAGTGGAGTTTCCCACATGTGGGGAAACTGCAGGGGTCAGCGCATCCGGAGTGCGATGGATAAGCCTCTCCCTGGGAAAACACCTTCGTGATCATGGCACCCCCTCCCTCCCGCCAGGTAAGTATGATGAGAAACCATTTTTGTATCTGAACTGTGGACACGTTACCCTGGGCTGGCTGAATCTCTTTATGTGGAAGTGATAATGAAAATACCTGGCTACCTGCTTCTCCACTGGCCTGTCCCCATGAAATTACTCTTTCTCCACTGCTTAGATAGCACCTGGCTCATTGATTATTAGCTATTAATTATTAATTATTATTACCTTGTCCCCTCTACCAAATTGCAAGGTATGGCCATTTGACCGACACATATCAGGCAATACTGGGTTTAAAATGCTGAAATGGTGTTTTGTAGTAGCGGCTGGTTAATGAGGGGAGTGGGGTCATCCATAGACATTTTTAGAAACTCTTAATCACTATCGCACAACTGTGGCCAGGGCCTCTCTAGAGAGAAGAAAACTGCTAATTACCCTTCTCAGGCTCCAGAACAGATCGCAGTGGAGAGTGTTTTCTAAAGCAGATCGTGCTCTCTGTGGCCTTGCTGGGAGTCCTGTCCTCTTCTGCCAAGTCAGTGGGCTTTCTTGAGAGAAAATCAGCCAATGACAGGAGCAGAGGAGGCAAGGGCCGGCAATGGAAGAGAACGCCTGGATCCTCTCACAAATTGTTAAGGCAGGAAGGAAGGGACAAGCTGGCACATTAAAAAAACATACAGAATGCACAAGAGAAACCAGAGGAAAAGACAGAGGAGAAAGAAGCAGCATCCCATCAGAGCGGTGAGAGAAGGGGAGGAATGAGGGTGCAGAGGAGCCTGGATCACAGGAGCACTGACTGGGTGCCCGGCCTCTGAGGAGGTTAATCGGTGAAGCGCCGGGTGGCAAGTCCAGGCTTAGTGCAGAGAACACACAGCCCCTGGCTGCAGGAGGGAGCGGTCACTCGGTGGAGAGAGCAGAGGACGGCCCGACATCAGAGCAGGGGAGAGAGAGCGAGGAAGAGGCAGTGGTTTAAATGAAACGTGGAGGTTTACTTCCAGGTGGAATGATCTGAGGTAATAGCTAATAATGTGGACATCCTATATAAATATTTAATTTAAATCTTAAGCCGACAGCATATAATCAGTTTTTGCAACATCCTTTATATTTATTATAATTTTCCATTTAAGAAGCTTAGCAATAAACATATGAAAAGATGTTTAACATCCTTGGCCATCAAGGAAATGCAAATCAAACTCTGAGCGACTATGTCACACCCACTCGGATGCCTATAATAAAAAAGACAGGTAACAACAAGTGTTGACAAGGAATGGGGGAAACTAGGACCTACACACACTGCTGGTGAGAAGGCAAATGGTTCAGCTACTCTGGAAAACAGTCTGGCAGTTCCTCAAAGATTAAACCTAGAGTTACCACATGACCCAGGAATTCCACTCGTAGGTTTTTACTCAAGAGAAATGAAAACTATGGTCACACAAAAACTTATACATAAGCATTTATAGCAGGACTATTCATAATAGCTCAAAGATAGAAACAACTCAAGTGTCCACCAACTTGTGACTAGATAAATAAAATGTGGTCTATCTATACACTGAACTATTATTCAGTGATAAAAAAAGGAATAAATGATGGATATGTGCTATGATATGGAAGAACCTTAAACACATCACGCTAAGTGAAAGAAAGCCAGGCACAAAAGGCCACATATTATATGATTCCAGTTATAGGAAATGTGCAGGAAAGGCAAAGCAGACCAGTGGTTGGCAGGCAGTGAGGATGGGGAAGTGGGCGTGACTGCTAATGCATAGGGTATTTGTGGGAGTTATGAAAATGTGCTAAGATTGTGTTGAGGATCACACAACTCTGTGAATATACTAATAACTACAGAATGGCACACTTTAAGTGGGTGAATGGCATGTTATGTGAATTTTATCTCAGTAAAGCTGTTATATGTGAGAGAAAGAAAGAGATTGACAGACTCAGAGAGAGAAAGCTTAGCAAGTTATTGGTTTCAGGGAATTCCTACCACCAATAAACTGGAACACACAGGGAGGAATTACCTTTGATTGGGGAAAAGTGGGAGGAGGGTGACCAATCTGTCCGGATTGGTCTGGACTTTCCGGTTTTCTCACTGAAAACCCAGGCCCTGGGAACCCCTCTCAGCCTGGGTCACAGCAGGACCGTTAGTCATTCTAAAAGTGGGCAAACCAGTGACAAAGCTGCCAGCCACCCTGATAGAACATGGAGAAGTTCTTCGACAGGACATTTTAAGAATAAAAAAACCCCCAATAATTCAACATAAAGGAAGTCTTGTGTGAAACACATATTTGAACTGGTAAATTAATACAGTATAAAAAATTTCAAGTACCCTATGGTTAACTTCAGTGTACACAAAAGCTTGAGACGTGGCAACAGTGATGTTTTAACGTGTTAAAAGGTGACCTTTTATCCTGGGGACGTTTGGGGGTGTGTATCCAAGTGATTGCGGCAGAGCAGGCTGGACCTCTGTGGCCTTTTAAAGACCACAGAACGAGTACTTGCCGCTCAGGTGAGGATGGCAATTGTTCCCAAACTGTGAGGCACGCTGTGAAGTCTGGAAAGCTCGCAGAGAATGTGCCAATTTGAGAGGGAAATTCGTTCGAAACAGCCACTCTTGTGGATGTTTGCTTGTCCTTGGACGGATAGCAAACACCGGTGAACTCGGTTGCCAAGGCAGCTGCGTAAAGATTACACCTAGGGACTCCTCAGGGCGGCCAGCTCGCCTGCAGGGAAATGGACTTGCAATTACCACTCAGCCTCACATTTAGCTCAAGGGGCGCGATAAACACACACAGAAAAGCCGTGTGCAGCTTTACAGAAAGCTAACAGCAGTGCAGCCAGCCGAGTCTCTTGTTCTGAAGAAGTGCTCTCAAATGAATCAATATGCAAAAAGGCAGCGATTTCCTCTGTAAATATGCCACCTCTGAAAGCCCAGGAGCAGGGAGGGGGAACGGATAGAGTAGCACTCCTGGGAAGAAGGCTTTGGAGCAGGTCTTCCCACCCCGAGTATGCAAGTATGCACCCCAGATCTGGAGGAGGCCCCTCCTGCCCATCTCTGCCAGGCAAGTGGCCGATCAGAATCCCCACCACACACACACACACTTTTTTCCACTA